GCCCCATGATGGATCCTATCGGCAGGACAATCTTACGGACGTAGGAGCATCTGGTCACGACGGGACTATCGATTGACTTTGCTTCTGCAAGAATAATCATTTGAAATGTCGCCTTGGTAGACCGAATTCAAACATGTCGACCAATTGGTAGCCGTCATATTCAAATTAAAGTTGTGGTACAAATCTGGAAGTAAAACATTCAAATGTGGTATACATTAATTTTGTTAAGGATGATTTCTAAAACTGTTCCATCTCTTTTGTAATTGCATAAATATGCACCTATAAATATGAATAAAGGAACCCCACCACCTCCTTTCTCTATTTAGAATTTTCTAACACTTTTCTTCTCTCTCTCTCCTCCTCCTTCTCCCTACTCTATCTCTTGAGTGGTGTATTTCCGAAAAAAAAATCAAGATTCAACATAAAATATTTATTAATTTATTTTAGGACAGAATGAAAAATACTAAATTAGCACGCAGCTATATATATTTCCTAATTAACAGAAGACATTTCATTAAAAACACCTCCAAAAAACATGAAATTAAACTGAACTGAATACTTAAGCATTGATATTTTTTCCTAATGATTAGAGATATAATGTGACAAAATTAATTAATAATTGGCTAATGGAAGCCAATTCTGCAGAGCCATAATTTCTTAATTAAGCTTCTGAGAAGATTAATTAACTGATTAATTAAGCAATCAAGGGCATTTTGGGCCTCCTCTCTGAGTCTTCCAATTGTTGTAGCAAGGGCAGACCTCCTTATGACCATAAGTCCCAGGAGGTACACACCTGCATTTGAAGCAGCATTTCTGGCAGAAGAACAAGCAGGCCTTCTTATAAGCCGTCTTGGAGCACCTGTACTGGCATGCACCTGGGCACTCTATAAACCATATAAATTTATCAAAATGTGAAGGTATTTTCATTTTTTTTCCATTCAAATATATGAACTTTTCCTATATGCATACATACATAAATGAAAGAGGACTTTTTTAAGAGGGTCATTAGTCTCAAGTGTTTATAAAAGCGCTAATTATTTTTAAAATTAATTTTATAATTTTACAAGACATGATTTTTAACTCCAAGCAACCAAAAAGGCCATAAAAGTTCAGTTCGAGAAACATATTTGGGGCAGTTACATACATACCACCAAATTCCTAAGAATTTACAAATCTGATGCCTAAACTTTATTTTTTACATTTATACCTTCCAAATCCTTTCTACCACAACCGTCATTTTAACTTTTAAATAGTGAAATCCATCTTTCCATGCATAGAGAAACTAGAAGAATATGCATGTAAAAATTGAAGCTTATTTGCTAGATATGTAAATACATAAGAATTTAGTGGTATGTATGTAAATCCTCCGACATATTTATATATCCTATAGAGATTTAGGGCTGGTTAGATTTGGCTTCTTTTCTTGATAAATTAGCAGAAGAAAAGCTGCTTAAGTAGTTTCAAAACTTCGGAAGCGTTTTTTAAAGCAATTTTCTCAAACTATGACAGCTCTCTCTCTCTGAGCTTTTTAATGGCGCAAAGCAAGCAAAAGCCCAACCAAATGAGTCCTTAAATGTTAGAAAAAATTGAGACTTAAAAAATGTAGATTAAATCACATTCGCTCAGACTAAAAACCACAAAAAATAAAAAGGGAGTTATAGACAAACCTGCTGCACTGAAACCTGAATGTCTGTGTTTGTGCTGTATATAAAATAGCAAGATATAATCATAAGCAGGTTAGAAAACTAAAAGTTTTCAAACTAAACACAACTGAGTTGCCAAGGAATCCTACTTTCTACACATTACCTTGCGTACTGCCAAATTTAAGCTCAGTTCCCCATTAACCATCTGCTGATACAATGAGGTTAAAATTTTTTAACTCAAAGCAGCAAAAATACTGAAATCTGGGTTTAGTGAGTTCAGGAAGCACCTCGGAAGCAGTTTTAAGTTCTGAAAAGAAGGCCAAGATGACAAAGAATATGAGGAAGAAGAAATTGCTTAATCTTCCCATGCTTACAGAGCAATGGGTGTAGTTCTACCTCTAGCAACAATGTCTCAATCGAGACTGAAGGCTCTGTTATATTGATATAATTAACACTTGAGTGCAGAGCTTAAATGTGCACTGCTGAACTTATCTCTTTAAAGTTCATTTATTTGATGACAGTTTCTGCATGTTCTGCTTTTAAGTCCCTCACAATTATTTCTTACTATTTTTAGAAATTTTTGTAATAGAAAGCTGGTTTTTTAACATGAGTTGTAGACTGCTTTGAAAAAAAGTAAATTTGATTTTTGAAAAAGAGCTTGTTTTCAGCAGGTTCACAAATACTTGCCCCACTAAAAATAGTCTACATAATTATTTATCAATTTTTTTATTAATAATATATTTGTTTTAAATAAATATAAGTAATAATATTTTTTTATGATAATAATGAAAATATATGGTATAATAATTAGATTAAAATGAATTGGTAAATTTAATCAAAACTAATATAACTCATTAATTACTAAATTAAATTCTTTAGTAAACTCTAAATATTAATGAGGAAAGAGTAAAATCAGCATGTCAAACTATCTATCATGGCAACTACAACACTAACAATAATATTAATTTAAATTTGCTAGAGACATTAGAGTGAGCAATTCAATCATCATTAAATAAGAATTTTAATAAATTCTTTAAGGAAAAAATTGTCCAACAAACAGATGTGTATATTTATGAACCTAACTAAACAATCTATTCAGAAAATTAAGAAAGATTTACATACATATATACCACCAAATTCCAAGGTATTTACATATCTAAAATCAAAAACATTAATTTTTACATGCATGCCACCTTATTTATATATAAGAATGTATATTTCAATTTTTTAAAGATAAAATGGGGGCATTTTCAGGTGATATAAAAAGTTATGGTGCGATAAATGTAAAAAAAGTAATATTTAGCTGTTAGATATGCAAAACATAAGAATTGGGTGGTATCTATGTAAATGTCCCTAACTATTTATAAATACACTAATTAACTAAAAACCCTACTTCTAGGCTCTCCAAGTTGCTGCCGTAGCTGAACTCCACCGACACTCTTATACTCTCTCTCTCTCTCTCTCTCTCTCTCTCTCTCTCTCTCTCTCTCTCTCTCTCTCTCTCTCTCTCTCTCTCTCTCTCTCTCTCTCTCTCTCTCTCTCTCTCTCTCTCTCTCTCTCTCTCTCTCTCTCTCTCTCTCAATTTGTATGTGAATCATACCTCAAAGGTTAGGGCATAAAAAAGAAGAGAGAGAAGTGAATAATAAATGAAAAGGAAAATGACTTGTCCATTAGCTATTTCTAATCTGTATTTAGAGATGATACAATAAGTGATATTATATATTTTGCCCCTTCTTTAATGGGGACATTATCTGATATTCTTGGTATTTTACATACACTAGTCTATTGCTTGATTGTTCTATTATTGGGTTGGTTGGGCTAGCATGGCTCTGGCTAGGTTGTAACAATCTCTGCTCGACTTCTCTGTCAACTTGTCGTGCTTGACAACCTGGAGGAATCGAGACTGTTTGATTCTAACCAGAATCCATCTCATCATTCAACTCATAACAAACCATTTCCAACATGCCTTTATAAATTACCTTATGAGCACAACTAGGTTGTAACAATCTCTGCTCGACTTCTCTGTCAACTTGTCGTGCTTGACAACCTGGAGGAATCGAGACTGTTTGATTCTAACCAGAATCCATCTCATCATTCAACTCATAACAAACCATTTCCAACATGCCTTTATAAATTACCTTATGAGCACAACTAGGTTGTAACAATCTCTGCTCGACTTCTCTGTCAACTTGTCGTGCTTGACAACCTGGAGGAATCGAGACTGTTTGATTCTAACCAGAATCCATCTCATCATTCAACTCATAACAAACCATTTCCAACATGCCTTTATAAATTACCTTATGAGCACAACTAGGTTGTAACAATCTCTGCTCGACTTCTCTGTCAACTTGTCGTGCTTGACAACCTGGAGGAATCGAGACTGTTTGATTCTAACCAGAATCCATCTCATCATTCAACTCATAACAAACCATTTCCAACATGCCTTTATATATTACCTTATGAGCACAAGTTCACTTTATTGATTTAAGGAATATGAAAAGGCCGCTATCACCTTTTCAGTCATCTTCTTCTTCCAGTTTTAAGTGTTTCCACATGGTATCGAAGCAGTCATGTCTCACAACCTCCTCCGACTCACTCTAATATTGTCAGATCTCATGGCCTCCACTACCTCCACTGCTTCCTCCAAAGCCAATACAACATCTCAGCCCATTGCCCTGCCAGCCGACAATCCATTCCCCTCTCAGCTCAAATTCATCTTGATTAATAATCGGAGTTTCGTCTCTACTCCACTCTCCAACGACAAACACCCCACATGGAAGATGTTAGTCATGAAACTCTTCTGTGCAAATAGGTACGACAGTTTCTTAGATGGCTTTTGTTTATGACCTCCTCGACATATTTCATATGCCATCAAAACCCTACTCCCCAATTTCGATTCCACTAATGGATGCTCATCGACCAAAATCTTGTTGTGGCCCTCTACTCAATCATCTCCCCCTCTATCTTACTTTATATTCTAACCCTAGATACTTGCCACGACAACTGGGCAACAATGGAGCAACGTCTCCAATCCTTCAACCGCTGTCACATTATCCAATTAAAGAATGAACTTCACAACCTTAATATGCTCAACAAATCTATGAATCAATACTTATCTAAAGTCAAGGCAAAGGTAGACATTCTTGCCACTATATAGACCTCTTTCGATCTGGAAGATATCATTCACTACACCCTCACACCCTCAATCGGTTGCTATTGAATCAATATCTGTCTAAAGTCAAGGCGAAGGTAGACATACTTGCCGCTACATAGACCTCTTTCGATCTTCCAGATATCATTCACTACACCCTCAATCGGTTGCTATCAAACTATAATGCTTTCAAAGCAATCCACACTACTCTTCACCCAATCTCCCTTAACGATCATTACACCTTACAATGCATCAAAGAAATCAATCTAGCCAACGAAGAAATTAAAGAGTCCTCCATCTCCACAACCCTCTTTGCATCTCATGGTCGAGGTAAAGGTCGATCAAACAACTATTCGTCAAATGACCAACATAATGCATACTCATCTAGTCTGAATCAGCCCAACACAACTCCAACTGCAACAATTGTACTCCCACAGTGTGCCAAATTTGTCACAAGCATGAACATGAAGCTTTCAAGTGTTGGTTCCACCATGTCAAATCCTATCAAGCGCCAACAGCTCTTGTTACCACCAACACTGAATCCAACGCAACAAATGGTACCTCAATAGTGGTACTGTTGAAAAGGTGATGCATCTATAAAAGTAAATCTCTTTGTGCAGATGGAAAGGAGAATACATTAACCACTCTTTTCAAAACATTACCAACCACCATGATATACTGCATTAATACTCATGTCCATACACCTCCGAACAAAAATGGTGTCGTCGAGCACAAACACCACCTCCTTATCGAATTCCTCACTCTCATGGTCATCGCTCACTTAACTCATCACTTATGGGTCGTCACTCTTCTTATTGTCGCATACCTAATCATTTGTCTACCATCCAAAACCACCAACTTCAAATCTCTCTTTGAGCTACTTTGCCATCACCCCAATCCTACAATCATCTCAAAATATATGGGCGTTTTTGCTATCGTTGGCTCAGACCCTATGCTCAACATAAACTAGCTCCCGAATCCACACCAGGTTTCTTCTTGGACTATGCATCCAATCAAAAAATTTACTAATGCCTCGATCCCATAACCAACAAAATATACACATCTTGTCATGTGCTCTTTAATGAGGCCATATTTTCCTTTCATAATCCCTCCAATCAATCTGCACCAACCCTATCATATACGGTTAACTTACCTCCACTTCTTATGATCCCAACCTCCATTCTACCAAATGAACCACCTAAACCGCCACCCTCAACACCTGCCTCTCCCAACCCAAACTGAATTCCCTAATTTGAATCCCAAATAATCCCTCCATTACAAACTCTACCCCAACATCTACAACTTCAAGACCACCACCAAACCTACTCATCATATGCAAACCTGCTTTCAAACTGGATCTCTTAAAACACGTCAAATACTCAACCTAATTCATCACCTTATCGCCACTCCAACCTGCTACTCCTCTACTATCAAACACCCACAATGGCATGACGCAATGCTCAGTGAATTCCAAGCTCTACAATCACGAGGCACATAGATCCTAGTTCCACCTTCCCCTCATTACATTATTTTAGGTTCCAAATGAACCTATCACACCACCCTCAATACCTGCCTCTCCCAACCCAAACTAAATTCCCTAATTCAAATGCCAAATAATCCCTCCTTTACAAACTCTACCCCACATCTACAACTTCAACACCACCACCAAATGTACTCATCATATGTAAACCTGCTTTCAAATTGGATTTCTCAAAACACATCAAATACTCAACCTCACTGATCAACTCATCACCACTCCAACCTGCTACTCCTTTACTGTCAAACACCCTCAATGACATGAAGCAATGTCCATTGAATTCCAAGTTCTACTACAATCACAAGGCACATAGATCCTAGTTCCACATTCCCCTCAATACATTATTTTAGGTTCCAAATGAACCTATCGTACCAAACTCAAACACTGATGACACAATCTCCCACTATAAAGCCCACCTTTTAGCTAAATGCTTTAAACAACAACATGACCTTGACTGCACCGAAAGCTTCAGTTTTGTAGCCAAACAACCAACCATTTGTGTTCTCATCACAGCTGCCCTCACAAATCGTTGCCCCATTCTTCAACTTGATGTATCCAACACCTTCCTCCATGGTAACCTAAATGAAACCATCCACATGTTCCATCCACTTGGTTTTGTTGATCCCAACTATCTCAATCATGTATAGCTACTCAACAAAGCCCTGTACGGTCTAAAACAAGCTTCACATCAATGGTTTGCCACCCCTCTCCTTCTATCACCACACAGTTGACTTTCAGACCAGCTCTATCAATGCTTCTCTCTTCTGTCAACATAATGCCAATCATCATCTCTACATGCTCATATACGTAAACGATGTAATCCTTACTGGCACTGATTCCTCTCTCATTAACTTCACCGTTAACTAACTTCAAACGTAATTTCCTATGAAACTCTTCGCCCCTCTTTCACTTTCTCGATAT